TCCAGGTGATGGGAGATTACCCTCTCTTCTGGTGGTGTGCCTGAGGAAGAGGCAATTTTTCAGGGCCACATGTGGTTCTGCCTTTAGACTTGTTGAACATCACCTTTTCATTGTTACACTGTTTTGTTCTGTAAAGCAATGTTTGTGTAGAACAGCATGGTTAATAGCCAGTCCTCAAGGATGGCTAATGAAACCAGTAACAGTCAGAAAAAGTAAATAGAAAGACACAATTCCTCCTGATGATACCGAAAATAACATTTACTGAAGTAGCATCGCAGTGCGGGATATCTGAGTGATCAGCTCTGCATACTCATCTTTGAAAAATAGCACCAGTGCATCTACCTGGTTTTGTTGCAAACTTCTGTATACCATTGAAAGATGGCTCAGCCAATGGCTCAATCAGTTATGGGCAGTTTTGATAAGCTGATGCACAATTCATAGAATCACATAATCATAGAATGATTTGGGTTGCAAGAGACCTTAAAGATCTTCTAGTTCTATACATGAGCTATATAACATAAGTTATATGACCCCTATATAGTGATTAGCAAAGGATTTAACAACAGTATTTTTTCCTTTAAGATAAGTAGTTTCTTCCAGAAGGAAATTCCTCTTTTACTTACCTCTCTTTAGTATATACACCTTTCTGAGATATTCAATAACAGCTTCATCTTTTTAGAAGGTAGTCTCTGGCTGATGTTTTTTCAGATTTGTTTTCTGACGACCTAAGCATATGGTGTAGAGTCTTGTTACAGGATCATTGAAAACTCATTCTGCACAGCAATGACTCACTAAAAAAAGAATGTATGCACATGTGTAATACTTTCTCGATTACCTATTATTAATGTCTATCTAATTACTTGTTAACATCTGCCTAATTACAGCAATGTTATTAATATAGGATTTAATTTGGTTCTTTTCAGGCTAAAATATTGTCAAGTTTGTATAGTAGCCTTGCTTCAAGTATCATCTAATGTTTTCTTTCTTAAAGGCCTATGCTAAGAAGGCAGCATTAAAGGGTGGTTTGGATAAGACTGTGAGTCTCAGAAAAGATTTGTCAGAGATGCATGAATGGATAACACAAGCTGAGGAAGAATATCTGGAAAGAGATTTTGAGTATAAAACACCTGATGAATTACAGAAAGCTGTTGAGGAACTGAAGGTAAAAGATGAACTAATTCCTTGAGCCCTGTTTAAAGTTCTTTTTGAAGTTTTTGTTGTAAAGAAAGTCTACTCTTTCATTTAGAAAGGTGTTTTTTGTGATCTACTTGTTAGCCTTAAATTTAAAGAAGTAGGTGGCTTGAAGTAATTTCTATTTGGGATATATTGGAAGATATTTAATCTTTCACAATACTGCATTGCTTCCCCCCCCCCCCCC